ATTTTTATAATAGTCTTGTAATATATGTAAAATATAAGAATTCCTTTAGAGTCAAGAAATAGACAAAAATTCAAATAAATTGTCAGGGTTCACATATTTAATAAATTATGAATTTCTAATTTGTACACATCTTTCTAATTCCACAATTGGTTAACTGTGGAATTGAACTTCTATAGCCTTCTTTTCTTGGCTTTCATTACACTCTACTTCACATTCCTCCCATCTATATAATTTGTAATCAACATAAAATAATCAAGACAAGATGAAAGTCACACATTTCCTCCTTTAGATCCACATCTGTGTATAGACAACGGAAAAATAGAAGGTTGGATATGGCAACTCTGTTAAATATAATTTTAATAGTGTCTAAGTTGATTTTTGATGTGACAGCAACTTCTGCAGTTTTCTTTTTCAAGAAGTATTTCTCCCAAATATTAACCCTCTTACTTCAAGACAGAAACTAAGAATTGACCACATTAAGCCTATTTGAACTTCTAAAGTCTTATTTGTAGTAACAACTTAATTTTCCACATATTTATATATCTGAAATATAATACATATGACCTATACATAATATGTACATATGTACTATGTGTATAATATTCATGTATATATAAATACAGCCTTCTGAGTCCATATAGTGTTGCTTGCATATATATATATATATATATATATATATATATATATATATAGGTTTAGGGCTGAGCTAACTACTTGGAATTGGAAAAAGAGATTTCCTAGAAGACTGATACTTCCTCTCACATTTCATTACTGTAACTCTTCATCTAGGGCAAGAACCTTATGAGATTGCACCCCTCTACACTGACATGTCCTCTGGTGATCTCATTCTTCAAATCTTGTTAAAGGAAACATTTTTAAATACTTCATGGGCATAGTTTCCAAGCTATAAACAGAAAATACTATCTCACAGTATATATTCTGGCCCTAAATGGATTTTACATTCTTTCTGCCTGCTCTTCTAAAATATCCTCTGGACCTTAGGTATAGTTGTTGTATTGCAGATGGGCATTCCATGGTCACTTGTTTTTTACATTTTGTCCAATTTTATGGAGGGTTTCGTGACCTCACCAGCTACAGGTGCAGTATTAGGCATGAATTCTCTCTTATTAAATGAACCTTAATTTCAATCAGACTGCTGATGTTTATCCCCAATATGTAAGTGCTACTACTGTTCTCTGAAATACAGCTTGCATGGTGGTCTCTGTTATTATTCATAGGATTTAAAGTGAAGTAGGACTATTAATTGCTTGTGTCCCTTTTGTGCTGCAATTCTGCTTCTGCTGCCCCCTTAAACTACCTCCTCAAAGGTAAAGAAGGATACTTTCCAGCATTATTCTTCTCTATATGCATTTACTCAAGGGAAATAGACATTCCTGGGTGATATGAATGTGTATGAATTGATCTGCAAAATTACTACTTATTATTTTGGAAATGTCACTGTATTAAAAAAAAACTCCCCTTCATTTTAATAGAATATGCTAGGTTAGTATCTGGTTTTGTTAAATCAGTAGTGTTTTTCCAAGTTCTCTAAATTTTTTATGAGAATAAAATGAGGATAGCAAAACCTGTGATAATTTATATTGCAAGTCAATATTCTCCCCTTATATTTCAACCTTGATAGTTGAATAATTTGTACATGGTACTATTCTCTTTATTCTAATTTTGTATGAGTCCTAAATCCAAATTATATATGTACATTATATTTCTCCACATACCTTTTTGTATTCCTCATCCCATCTTTCTCTACATAAAGAAAATGTAGGACAATTAGATCACAAGTGAATCTAGTTATTAATTTCTATGGTAAAGAGTTTATCCTCCAAATAGAAACAGTCTTAGAAACTTTTATCATTTTTCCCAAATACAAGTAAATTTGGAACTATTTCATCTTTGTTCATGATTGATATGGGAGGTGATGTATGCTGTGAATATGTTTTATTGCCATTGGTTAATAAAAAAGCTGCTTTCTGCCAAAAGCTTAACAGAGTAAAGTCAGGCTGAAAGAGATATATGGAGAAAGAAGGCAGAGTCAGGAGAGAAGCCATGTGGCTGCCATAGGAGAAAAATGCAAGCCCCTAGATGGAACCTTGCCAGTAGGCCACAAACCTCATGGTAAAATATAAAATAATAGAAATGGGTTATTTTAAGATGTAAGATCTTGTTAGAAATATACTGGAGTCATTGAGCAAGCAGTGTTTTAATAAACATAGTTTTTGAGTTTTCACATTTTCATAGTTTTCATGTCTTGGTGGCCAGGAAAGAACAAACAGCCTCCAAAAATACATGATACTAAATTACAGCAGAAACCCTAGTTTTACTGGTAGAGAATCATTGAACTTAAAATCAGCAATAGCTTGCTCCTTTTATTTTTATGAAGTTTTCTTTCTACACATGTTTTTCTTTCTCTATTTACTTGTTTGACTCAGAAATTGCTTTTGTAGACAAGGGCAATGTACCTATTTCACTCTTTTATCAAGTAAGGATATTCTCTGAAAAAAATACCATATATGAGCCTGACACTCATTTGAATCTCCTAAGTTAGTGTAGAGGGAGAACCCCTTTACATTTTTATTTAGATGAGTTCATCAAAATTATTTTCATCCATAGCTAGAACTGAATTTAATGAATAAGTATTACTATTCTCAGCAGGTATTATTTTTGCTTTAATTTTAAAGACCACCAGGTAGAGAAATGTAACAATGTCCAAGAAGAATATTTTCTATCATTTAACATGCATCAATGGGAACTTTTAGTGCTTTTTCTTTTGAGTATCTCTCCCTTTTTAACTTCTTTCTATTTCTTTCCAGTGTCCAAGAAAGAGAATAAGATTTCACATAGACTTGAGTTGATTCCTTTCATACAAATGTAAGGGCCAATCTTCTCATGCCAAACACATCTGACTTTATTATTACAATTATTATTTCTCCTGTAACCAATTACTAATCTGAATTTTGTGACTGTATCTTATATTAATGCTCTGTAACTTTTCTCAAAGAAAAGTATAATTCTAATATACAAAGGAATCTTCCATTATTCTAAATTTACATATACATAATTATGCAACTTTTCTTACAGGTATTTATGTTGCCCTTGGCAATTTCAGCTTGTATTTTCACTTTCATTTAACAATAAAAATATGAGGCTAAGAATATACCTCTTTTTTGCAATATTTTTGAAGTTGCTCTGGGCACATACTTATGGAATCCCTTGCCATTTATTAAGAATAAGCAGAAAAGGAAAGCAAAGAAAACTGATAAGATGTATCAATCCCCTAGGGCTCTAACGTTCAACCTCAATTGAAGTCCCAAATGTATTTTAACACCTTAGGCTTCTGACTATGAATCTGTCTCTTGGGTCTTTTCAGTTATTTCAGGGAAGGGTTGGTTGCTCATTGTACAAGAAGCAATTATCCTCGTGAAGAAAATAGTTCAAGAAAAGACAGGAAGAAATCTAGTTAGTGATGCAAGGTACTGAAAGTTTACAAAAAATTGAAATAAAAGAGCACATATAAGAATTGATATAGCATATAATCACTCTTCGTGTTTAAAATAGAGGTAGTGGCATATAGCTATATTCGTTTATAACAACATTTGCATCCATATTTATATTCAGTCATATATACATACATTTCTGGTTTCAAATTTCTCTTTTTATCTGAATGTGTGACTGAAAGGAAGGATATTTGGTGGTAATGGGTTCAAACATGAAAAATAGATATTTCAAGTTGAATCCAAGTTTTACCGGTATTATTAGTAACACAGCATGGTCAAAATACTTAGTATATTCGGATCTCATTAGCAAGATCTTTTAAGTAAATCTGTTTTATTATTCATTCCCTTGTTATAAGCTTAAAACATGCACAGTGGACCTAGTGAAATCATTTAAACCCATTGGTTTGCTTTAAAATCTTATCTTAAACATAATTCATACCATTTAAAGGATAATGCACATGATGAAGAATATTAAATTTCTTTTGTCTTTGTTGCTCCAAGTGGCTAGATGTTACATGCATAATGATCAAAGCTTTATGTGCATTTTTGGTGTGAGAAGTCCTTCTGTTTATGTGTTGCTTTTATTGGTTAATGAATAAAGAAACTGCCTTGGCCTGTTGATAGGGCAGGATTTAGGCAGGCAGGGAAATATGGGATGAATGCTGGGAGAAGGAAAATGAAGAGGGAGATGCCGTGGACTTGCTAGAGATAGACCTGCCAAAATTTTGCTGGTAGGCCATTACCTCATGGTGATACACAGATTAATGGAGATTGGTTAAACTAAGATGTAAGAGTTAGCCAATAAGAAGCTAGAGCTAATGGGTCAAGCAGTCATTTAATTAGTATGGTTTCTATGTGATTGTTTCAGGGCTAAATGCATGAGAGGAACAAGAGACCCCTGCCTCCTTGCAGCAATTGGCATACCAACGTAGTGGACTAATTCATGTAAAAAATAATTCGAGACACAAAAGAACAGAGTTAAGCATGGTTTGCTAGCGGCATTTTCTTGGATGGGCTTTGTTTGCTAGAAGCAAGCAGAGGCATGTCTCCTTTAAGAGAGGTTTTCCTAATTCATCCTTAGCAGGGGGAAAAAAAGACATGCTGTTTTAAAATGCAACTTCCTGGTCTGTGTCGCCAGTGCAAACTCCAGCTATGGAGCATAGAGCATTTCAATGGCATTTGTGAGCCTGAGTGTTTGTGTGCCCACTCAGGGTCAGGAGGAAAGCAGCTAAGAACAGCTCAGTGCCCCCTGCCTGGGCAGGTGACAGGATCAGGACTGCTAGGCATGCACAATCAGGAGAGCATAGCAGATTCCTGCCTCCATACACAAAGATATTTCCTGCAGCACCTATTACTGAGATATAAAGGTTATATGTACTGCATACTCATGTTCAGAATAAAAGTGCTGAGTGCAGATCTGACCTGGTGGCCGCAGATCTTGCAGTAATGGTACCTCCTCAATTTTGAAAGTGGAGAGAAGGTTTTGGGTTTATTCGCCGCCAGCCAAGATGAACCGATTCTTCGGAAAAGCAAAACCTAAGGCGCCGCCGCCTAGCCTGACTGACAGCATTGGGACAGTGGATAGCAGGGCAGAATCCATTGACAAAAAGATTTCCCGGTTGGATACGGAACTAGTGAAATATAAGGACCAAATGAAGAAGAAGAGAGAGGGTCCTGCAAAGACCATGGTCAAACAGAAAGCCCTGAGGGTTTTAGAGCAAAAGCAGATGTATGAACAGCAGCGAGACAACCTTGCCCAGCAGTCCTTTAACATGGAGCAGGCTAACTACACCATTCAGTCTCTAAAGCACACCAGGACCACGGTGGATGCCATGAAACTGGGAGTAAAAGAAATGAAGAAGGCATACACGCAAGTCAAAATTGAACAGATTGAGGATTTACAAGACCAGCTGGAAGATATGATGGAGGATGCAAATGAAATCCAGGAAGCCCTGAGTCGCAGCCACGGCACCCCAGAGTTAGATGAGGACGACCTGGAAGCAGAGTTGGATGCACTGGGCTATGAGCTTCTGGCTGATGAAGACAGTTCCTACTTAGATGAAGCAGCCTCTGGGCCTGCAATTCCAGAAGGTGTTCCCATTGACACAAAGAACAAGGATGGCGTGCTGGTGGATGAGTTCGGACTACCACAGATTCCAGCCTCCTAGACTGCAGCATTCCAGCACATGAGACGAAAATACGGATTCTGGGACTAGGAGATATTTCCCAATTTGCCAAAGAGATTTATATCTCTTTCCTTTCTTTGAAGGAAAAGCTGATTACACTGCTCCTGTATCTTAATTTTTTTCCGTTAAGAGAGTCATTGCTTGAGGGAAGCTGTCTTTTACTTAGATTTAATTCTTTTTCTTTTTCCTTAAGAAAGACTAACTGAAAAGTCTTTGACTTTGTATGTCCTATTTTCATCATTAATAATTTGGAATAAACAAGGGGGTGAGACTAAACTTAATGGTAGTGTAAGTGCAGTCTCAGTGTGACTTGATACATTGATAAGGTAGTGATTATTAATGAGATTGAGACTGTCCATAGTATGCTTCAGAACCATTGTCTATTGTGGTGTTATAGGTGGGTTTACGTGATGGGTTTTTGATAGGTTTTGCTGTGTCATGTGAGCAAGTCATTACTCTGTCCAACATTGGAATGAACTGTCACTACTGGATCATTAGTTGCTATTTTGATCCCATGGTTCCCTCGGTATTATAGCCTGACTTGTAACGAATAATGGATATTTCTTGATATTTAATGTATAGGGCATTTATTTATACTCAATAAATATTTTTCAAAAGGAAAAAAAAGAAAGTGGTGAGAAGCAGAACAAGCATTCAGAGCAGCTGTAATTAAGCTGTTTACCATTTTAAAAGCTCTTCAAAATAGTAAAGAATGGCAGATAACACAATAAGGACAGATTTAGATATAAAAGAACACTAAATGGATCACAGTTTTTGATAAATGTACATACATAGGCTTGGGAGAAAGAAGTAAAAGAGTATAGAGAGTTGGCAAAGAAGTAAATTTTTTTAAAGGGTAAAGTCTTTAAGAAGACAGAGTACAGATAGTCATGGATTAAAGGAGTAAAGATAATAAAATAATTATTAAAAAGTAATAGAATAAATACAAGCCATGTAAAGATGAAAAATTCACATAGTGTCTGGATTATGTATATTATTGTGTTTTCTTTGATTTTTTTTGACTGTGAAGGAGCTAAGTACAGAGAGAAATTCATTGTATGGGCTGCTAAGCTAAACCAGCATGTATATTACAAAGGTATCATGACTTCCAAATTTGGATATAAGGATATGTTGCTTTGGAAAATAGGTTCTTTTCTTGTTTTTACAGAAGATGAGAACCTCTGGATTATTTCCAGACCAATATGGTTTCATGAAACAAGAGCCCCCGAAAGATTGCTGTGAACACCCCCACAAAGAAAATACTTTGCCCAACTGCTGGCTGAGATAAACCTAGCACACAGGAGGAGGAGAAAATTGGACTGAATACTGCAAGAAGGAAGGCAGAGAGGGAGACATCATGGAGCCTCGGGAGATAGACCTACCTAAATTCTGCTGGTAGGCCAGGACCTCGTGGTGATATACAGATTAATGGAGACAGGTTAAACTATGATGTAAGAGTTAGTAAATAAGAACCTAGAGCTAATGGGCCAAGCAATGATTTAATTACTATGGTTTCTGTATGATTATTTTGGATCAAGTGGCCGGGATGAACAAATGGCCCCTACCTCCTGCAACACATTTTTAGAATATTTTTAAATTTTAATTTTTTTTAAATTTCAGTTTATATTCCATCCACCACCTCTTCTCCTGCTCTTCCCTCCATTTCCTCCCCAGCCCACTCCTCATCCACTCCTCATAAATGCATAAGGCCTCCTACGGGAAGTCAACAAATATGGCAATTAAGTTTGGGCAGGACCAAGCTCCTCCCTATTTCATTAAGGCTAAGAATGTCATCCCACCTTAGGGAATGGGCTCCAATAAGCCAACTCATGTGCCAGGTAGAGACCGTAGTCCTATTACCAGGTCCCTCATAGATAATCCAAGCATCACCACTATCTCCCACATATGGAACACCTACTTTGGTCCCAGAGGGGCTCCATAGCTGTCACTTTTGAGTTTCTGAGTTTACATGAGCTTAATTCAGATGTCTCTGTGGATTTCTCCATCATGATCTTGATCTTCCTTGCTCATATATTCTACCTTCCCTCTCCATCATAAGGTATTGGTATTGAATTTAAAGTGTGAACTTTAAAGACTAAGATGTGTGGCATCTAATAATTGTTGATAAATAAGATAATGCATAATTCAAAGACAACAAAGTCTAAAAAGTATTCCACATTTTAAACTTCAAGATATCTAATTCAGCAATTTTTAGGACCAAAATTCCTATAATATGCTTTATTCAGTCACCAAATATAGTATATAAACTGCTAGCATTGACTCACCGATTTACTTTAATTCCATGTGCCTAAAATAATTGTCAACTTGTACTTATTCCATCTTATGTTTGCTTAGACACTTCTTCGCCCTCTACTCTCCACAGCCATGCCAGACTTCACAACAGATTTCATATTTCAATGACCTTGATGATCTTACAGATTTATTAACCAAAATAACATTTAAAATAACTGAAGAAGATATATGTCAAAAATAATTGTCACTTAGTTTCTGAAATAGCTATGTTCTGTCAACAAGTGTTACATGGTTACTCTGAGCCTCATCTAATATTGATGTAATTGTAAGTTTTGCCTTTATAAACACTGCTCCCTTAAGCTTTAGTACCGAGAGATTCTGGCATTATCACACTCTTGGCCACCAGGCAAAATTAAAGGATTCTTATAGTTTGAATTGACTTAATCAGTGTAGTGGTCTCTATCTTTTTTTAACCTCAGTTAGTTCAAATACAGTCCCATTTATATTTTTTATTAAATGTATACTTTCATGCATTTTTGCATTTTCATTCTCTTACTTTGGAGATGGTCATTTTTAGACATGACACAGAAGAAGTTACTTTCTCTTTATTATTCTGAGAGCCTTTGACATTGTAAATTCTGTATCTCCAAGGTAGAGCAAAATTTATATAATAAATTATCTATTCCCACCCATTTGTTAGGCAGTAACATCATTAATTATTTGTAAAGTAAGAGAATAAGGATCATTTTGAAAATTTAGACTTCTTATCCTTGTTTTCAAATGTATACACAGGGTATGAAGTAGTTTTATGAATTAGCATCTTTATGGCTTGATTGCTGAGAAGAAAAATGTCAGTCATTACTAGAAATATTTTGTTCTTTAAGGCTAAAGTAGTATCTGCAGGCATATCTTGCTAGGTTTAAGAGGAATAAATTTAGGGTGCATCACCTAGAGAATTTAGATTTGATTTTCTTTCCTTGTCTAAAAAAATACATAATTCATAAGATAATGAACTGTAAACAGCTCCTTAAAAGTAAATAACATATCGCTACTCCCAGGAGGAAGATTAACAAACTATATACTGAAATAACTTATTCATATTTATTTTATTTTAAAATGTTAAACACAATTCTCTATTTTAAAATGTGTCATTGTATGAATGCAAGAAAATAGACAAAGTAGGAGTTACTAGACCAAAAATAGAGAGAAAATCTAGATTGTTTTCTTAGCTTTTGTCTTTCCAGAAAAGGAAAATACAATGTTTAAAAATTAGGACTAAATGCAACAGTTATTTACTAGATAAAATTTAACTACCCCTAGAAAATTAGAAGTTTTCTAAAACTTTACTATTTTTGCACGTTCTTCTTTGATTTGAATCCATTTCTCATATGTATAATGACTGACCCATATTTCCAACCCACTTATAAATTTTTGCTGTTGTTTAATATTTGTCATAACATTCTTCTGCAATTATTCCAATAATTCTTCTTCTGCTTTATCCTTTATTTATTTATGTGCTAAATCCAGTGCTTAAATTATATAACATGGGGTCTGGTAGTGACTCAACAGTTAAATGCACTGGCTGCTCTTCCAGAGGTCCTGAGGTCAATTCCAAGAAACCAGATGGTGGCATGTAATGATTTATAATGGAATCTGATGCCCTCTTCTGAAATAAAGGTGTATATGCGAATAGAGCATGCATATACATAAATAAGTAAATTTTTTAAAAAGAATATATTATAGAAAAAATGAGTAAACTTCATCCCCTTCCTTTTCTCTCCTCTTCTCTATTTCTCTTCATCTCTCTTTGCTTCTATCTTTCTCTTCTTTCCTCGTTTGTGTATGTATGGGTGTGTATTCCTAAATATATAAACACAACCTATTCTGCCAATAAAATGTTACTTACATGCATATATTTTCAGGGCTACTCATTTGTTATTAGACAACCACTTGTTATGCTTTTCTATTTATATTTTCTATAAGAAACTATTTCTTGTATTATCTGCATTCCTTACTTTTCTGTAGTTCATTGTAAGAGCCAGAGGAATAGGAAGTGTGCTATGAATTGTTTCTATTATAAGTTTCAGAGAAACTACACCCATATCTTAGTATTTTTATATTTGGTTATGTATGTGTCTGTGTACATACATTTGCCACTCTGTACATGTAGAGGTCAGAAGATAACTTTCAGGAGCTGATTACTCCCATCCTTCCATGATGGGAGTTTTTGCAATAAAACTCTGTTTGTCAAGCTTGGTGGTAAGTACCTTTATCTGCTGAGACACCTTGCCAATCCAAATGAAGTTATGCTACATTATATTCATTCAACAAATTTATTGAGGGCTATGAGAGGCATAAATAGTACAGTATTAAATACATATTTGGTTACAACGAATGTAGACTTTAGTAAAAAGACATCTCCAAGAGCTCTGAGATTAGAGAATGTTTGGGAATATACTGTGAGGTCCCTGAGCATTATGTTTTAGGAGGAATAGGGAAGAATGTAACTTTGTACTAGAAAAACAGTTTAATTCTGTAAGCAAAGTTTAATGGGGCTTCTATTAAGAGCTTGAAAACAGAAATGCTGTGTGTAATGAAGACTGTGGAAATCTGGCTCAAGAAGTTTCAGAGGGAAGCAAAATTAACAACTCGGCTAGAGGACATTCATGTGATATTTTGACAAATGATATGTCTACCCTTCAGCCCTTATCTTGTGAATTTAAATGACACTACATTTAAAAAGTAGTGAGCTAATCTGTTTGGCTGAGGAAATTTCAGAACTGCATAATTTTGAATCTGTTATATAATTATTATTGTTTAGCTTTATGCAGGCACACATGAAGG